TAAGACATGTCCCTCATTTGGATTTTCACTCCTATTTTCGTATTTCTCTGCTGCCATTCATCTTTGTATTTTGTTGCATTAATTACATTAATTTTCTGTGAGAAAAAGTGGTATTAATTTTCTATGAGAAAGAGTGTATACACAAAGTGTGTTCGTTGTGTGAATAGTGTGTAATGTTGCTACTATTCACTGCCGATCATTTTATCCTAAGAGATAGACGTTCACAATCTGAAAGTACCGTGAAGAGGACGAATCTGTCTTAAGGATACAGTGTTAAACACTGGACTTGATCAGAAAATTTATTCAATAAATTAATTTGGTAAGTATTTAATTTACTTTTTTATTTTATTATTATTTTTGTTTCTGATTTTGATTTTATTTCTGTAACAAAATAAAAATTTGTTTTATTTATTATATTTTATTTTCTGATTTGATTTTTGTAATCAAACAAACTCTCTTCTTTTCTTTATTTCTTCTGTATTCCGTTTGTTATTAAGTACACAAACAGAATTATTTTTTAAATACAGTGAAAATTATCCAGCAGATTAAATTAGCGCCTCAAGAAAAATTTAAAACTGAAATTTGCGCCCAAGCACTCTATATATATTTTTATTTATGAATTGAGTTTGCATAGTTTTTTTAAAGATTTGTTTTAACAAATGCCTAAACTTGAAATGGTGGTACTTTTTTTTTATTATTTACAGTTGATGAAAAAATATGTACACCACTAACATATCATTTTTTTTTTAAGATAGTGATTAACATATCATTAAAGTGACCATGACCCAATAATTAATAATAATAAAAAAATTGTAAGATTTTTTAATTTATATATATATATTTCTTTTGTTAACTAATGCCTTTGTTGAAATGATTATTTTCATGGTTTAAAAAATTAAAAATTATTCTCCCTTTCATTAAGGTTTGAAAAAAATAAAATTAGTCTTACTTTTTAAATATAATTATATCATTTTTAGTAAGATTAAATAGATTAAAATTAATGTGAAAAGTGTTTATTCATGTATTTACATGACATTTATATTAGTTTTGGATGGTTTAATCATACTAAAAAAAAAATAATATAATTTTGACAAATTAGTGAAACATAACATATATACTTGTCTAAATTTCAAAGACACTGTTATCGTCTGTCTTTCGTGTCACGTAAACAAACAAGATTTTATGTAAATCATATTAATAACACTAGTGAGTGCTATATATGTGTGCAATTTAGATAAATAAGGAAAAAAATAAATAAAATAAATTAATATAATAATATATAACTTGCTTAAATGATAAGTGTATTTTTAATAAAATCCAAAATTTTAAGTTCAAATTTTACTTGCGCTGCTGTAGTATAATAATTTTTTATTTTAACATATAAAAATTTACCACACAAGGCATGAGTAGAACGTTCACAGCTTTGGACACCAAATCTAATGTTTACATATATAATAACTAGTGGGTGGCACACACGATGTGTGTGTAATTTAAATAAGTAGGAATAAAAAAAAATAATAATAAAATTAATATTATAATGTGTACTTAGCTTAAGTGATATGAGTCCTCGTACTTAAACCCATGGTCATGAGTTCAAGCCTTGCCCATCTCTTTGTTTAATTTTTTTTTAAAAAATAAAAAATACTGCCACATGGCATGAGGAGAGTAAAGCTTCATGACACCATAAATTGTGTTCACTTTATAATAGTATAAATAAATAGATAATAAATCAAGTAACTAGTTTTCTTTTACAGGTCAGGTTTCTCTCCAATTTAAGATTGGACTAGTGCGTATTGTTGAGTGTGTAGGAACCTACCACGGGTCATATTTAATCCGAACTGTTAAATATGTAGAATTCGTTGTGTATTTCATCCTTGTAAAAAATTACGTTAATCGAATATCGATAGTCACTTTATTAACTCATATTTCTGTCAACGGTAAATATGATTCTTAAAATAAATTATTGATAGAAATTTGATCTGATCAAGTAACTATTGATATCTGATCAATGTGATTTTTTGCAAAAATGTAATAATCGACGAATTTTACAGTTTACATTATTGAAACATGACTCATGGTGAGTTTCATGGACCCGAACAACATTGTCCAATCTACATAAAGAATCAGAGTCCTTTTACTATGGCCTCATTTATCAACTCTCTTTTTTTTTTTTTTTTTTTTTAAAAAGTTATTTTTTGCTATAAAAAAATTAGTATTGTTAATGATTTTATGTGAGAGTTACGATCTCAAACTAATAGAAGCTATTAAAAAAATCAAAATTTATTAAGTCACTAAAAAAAAGTCAAACAAACCATTTATTAACATTTTTTTTCATACACTTTATAAAAATTAAAAAAAAAAGAAGAGATTAAATGACATTCTCTTAACCTGTACTCTAAGACTATGTTTGATTTACAAGATTAATAGTGAGTAGGGGTGTAACTTGAGTGGGTTCGGTCGAGTTGAGAGGTTCTCCAAGCCCAGCTCAAGTTGTATTGAGACCCACCCCAGCCCACCCAAGCTTGAATTGTAACCCGAGTTTACGTACCCAAGCTCGATTCGAGTTAAACTCGAATTGCCCGAGTTTCTTGAATTGTAAATGAATTTCAATTTTATTTTTATTTTTTTTTGCAGTTACATTATTAAATTATTAAAATTTGACTCTATTTATATTTTTTTAATTATAGAAAATCATTAATACCATTAAGACAAATAATTTACATAATATAAGAGAGATGCCGCTATTGTCTTTACAATTTATAAGTGAAAATAAAAAAAAGTAAGATTTTATTTTATTTGTATATATAATATATATTCAATATGATTTAATAATCTAAATTACTTTAATATCATGTAATAACTAATAATTTATATGTATTTTTATATATCTATATATGTATAATTTGGGTTTCGAGTTGCTCGGCTTGTTTGACGTTTTTGCCCAAGCCTATCCAAATTTAATTCGAGTTTCTGAATTTTTGCCTAAACCTGTACCGAATTTGAAAATATCTTGTCCAAGCCCTAAAATAAATCGAGCTAGGTTCGGGTTGCTCAGGTTGAGCCCGTCTGAGTTGCACACCTAATAGTGAGGTATTAATAATCCTATCAAATTAGTGTGCATTTACTATCAATTGGATTAATAGGATAAATTATCCATTGGATTAATAATCCCACCCCTAAACCATTACTAATAATCCTATAAATTTGTTGGATTAATTATCCGTTGGATTAATAATCCTAAACCAAAATGTAAAACAAACCTAGGATAATTGGGCTCACGGATTAATAATTCCAATCCCATACTCTAATCCATCCAATCAGATATGCCCTAAGGACACATATAAATAATTTGACGACCGATGAGGCTCACTTAAGTCCTGTTTGGATGACCTGAATTTTTAATTTTGTAAAATTATCAATGCATATCATCTATGAAAAATATTAAAATATTAAAATAACCATAATATTTCATTTTATCACGTTTATTTTTAGAAATGTATTATCAATTTTTTTTTCAAAACACAATAAAATACAAAAATTACAATTATCAAATTAATTTAATTTTTATCATGAATAATATACATAAAAAAATTTATAAATTAAATAATTTAAATTATCAAAATAAGACTCAAAAGAAAATCAACAGAGACCTACAATTTTCTCAAATTAAATTGACTTGTAAAAAATTCAACCGATCTGTATTTAATTTAATTTAATTTCGAGTGCAGGTAAAGAAACAAGATATACGAAGTGGGAGATTTGTCAATCTCTATGCCCCAATCTTTGTTATGATATGATTGAAAGACAAATCAATTCCCAATTCAACCCCAAACCACAAGACAAAAGGGGTCTCAACCCCACCTCATCTCCCCTGGTCGACCTTTAAACTTCTTGTTGTTTGTTAATATATCCAATATCTGCCTCTCTCTCTCGCTCTCTCTCTCTCACTTCAATTTCCAAAGCCTAGCCCCACCCCCCTACCCTACACCTTACAACCCAACCGGCTGTCTTTTTCTTCTTTTGGACCATTTACCCTCCCCTTGGCCTAACCTTTAGACTCTCAGAACTCTCTCACTCTCATTCCCGAGATTTTATTATTTATGAAAAAATTATTAATAATTTTTATTATTGCTTTATTAATTGAGGTATAATGTCAGTATAAAATTTTATTATCTGGGTTCTAAAAAATAAAAAATTATTATGCTTCTGTTTGGCAAGTTGGTTCTTGGGCTTTTTTAGCTATTTTAGCCACAAAAGACAAAATAGGCTATTTTAGCCATAACAAACAAAACATCACATCCAACCCATAATCATTACATTCTTCTCTCACAAAAAAACTCAAAAAAGCCAAAAAGCCAAAAAGTCAAAAAGCCATTCCCAAACCAAGCTTTTAAGCCCAGGCTAAAATAGCCAAAAAAGCCAAAAAGCCAAAAAGCCAACCCACTTCCCAAACAGAGGCTATCTAAAATCTGAAAAGATATTTGAACGGTGTCTTTAAATGTTTTTTTCTTTTTGCATCAACACAGATCAATCATCAAATCTTGTTTTAAAATTTATGTACTTAAATATTTTTTTAAAAAAATAATTGTCTTGGCAAAATAAAATTCATAGCGTGAATTATTTTAATTAGTTTATGCACAGCGCTATAAAGGGCATGTTTAATGTAATTTTTGAAGTTACTTATAGTTTTTAATTAAAGGAGTCTATTTGAATATTTGATGCAATTTTAACATATGATATATAATTTCAATATAATTTAAATAAATTAAAAATCTATAAGAAATGAATTTTTATGACTTTTACTTCTTGATTGTTAACTTCTTACTTAAAAAAAAAAAAAAAACAAACAAAAAAAAAAAAAAAACAAACAAAAAAAAAACTAAATAACCTCAAAGTTTTACAAAAATTGAAATCAAAACATATTAATGAATTTCGGTCAATGTATCCTTCCCTCAACAACTCTTTTCATATATATTTTAATAGTTAAAAATATATAGATAATAACATACTTATTTTCAGAGATGTTCTGCACCAAAATCAATATGCATGTCAAGTTCTCCTCTCTCTCTCTCTCTCTCTCTCAAATGACTACAAAAACCATGCAAAAAAAGTATACCAACCATCAATATTTTCTTGGTTTTTTATTTTACCCCAAAACCCTTGTGAAGATGGAGGGTGGTAGTGAGAGCGCGGTGGTTGACGTGTCAACTTCCGGCAGAGCTACTCCGGCGAGTTCACGGTGGAATCCGACGAAGGAACAGATAACTCTTTTGGAGAACCTGTATAAGCAAGGTATTAGGACTCCCACTGCAGAGCAGATACAACAGATCACTGGTAGACTCAAGAGCTTTGGTCACATAGAAGGCAAGAATGTGTTTTATTGGTTTCAAAATCACAAGGCTAGGCAGAGACAGAAACAGAAGCAAGAGAGCTTGGCTTATTTCAATCGCTATCTCCACAAGGCTTCCAATGTTTTTCCTCCTCCTTGCCCTAATGGTTGGTGCTTCTTTCTATACATATATATGCAATACTTTTCATATGAATATATTTACCGTCTATAATATTATTTAAACAGTAATACTAACGGTCCAGAAATTTTAATGAAAACGACATTCTATGTCTTAAATTTATTTCATACTTGAATCCTTACTATACCAAATCAATCTCCACCATACAAATATTTCACGTAGAAAAATCTGGATGAATAAGTCTAGATCCATAGCATTATGGTTATTTAAAAGCAGAAGATTTTGCAAATTTTATAATTTGTTTTTTTAAATTGTTCATATTTGTTAATAGCTTCTAAAAAAATATGTTCTAACAATTATCAAATTCAACATGTATTTTCCATACATCAAATTTTAAATAAATTTAGAAATATAATTATAAAAATACATCGTGTTTGCACCAATCGTTACTATATATTAGAAGGGTATGCAGACACACAAGATGGGTGTGAAAAGATAACATTATAATTGTCATATAAAGAAAAAAAAATTGAATTGTTGATTGAAAGAAAGAAAAACTGAAGAAATCTAAATAAAAATCCTGAATAGTTGTTTAAGGATAATTTATGTATGAGAAAATTTGTAACATCGTTTGAAAGCATATTATGATTTGTGTGCTTTTGTATAAAAGAGTAGAGATGCCTTTGTTTGTATGTATATGACACGAATAAATTGGGATTTGTTGTAGATTGTGTTATATAGTTTAATACATGTAGTCTACAAACATACATTAGCCATGTATGTTCATGCATTGCGGCTAGATAAGTGAGAAGGGCTAAAAATACAACCTAAAACTGTCCCATTCCTGTTGTTTGTTACCTATCTAGGATTTGCATCGAGATCATTTGTGAATTAAAAAAATAAAATTATACTAAAAGCATGTTTGCATTGAATAGGACTGAAGTTTGCTGGTGCTGCTGTTTTTCCTTGTAATTGCTTCTATCACTTTGGTTTATTTTCGTTCGAGAAGAAAATGTGCATATAAATTACACACACAAAAAAAAATCTAAATCCAAATTTAGTATTGTGTAAATTACATCCAAAATGATTCTTTTATTCAGAAAATGAACGCTTGGCCGCTTGTGTTTTAAATCCTCTATGTGCTATATATTTGTGCAATATGTACTGAAAAATACTCAAAAAATATCCAAAACTTGAAACTGGTGCTGTTGTTTTTCCTTGTAATTGCTTCTATCACTTTGGTTTATTTTCTTTCGAGAAGAAAATGTGCATATAAATTACACACACTAAAAAAAATCTAAATCCAAATTTAGTATTGTGTAAATTACATCCAAAATGATTCTTTTATTCAGAAAATGAACGCTTGGCCGCTTGTGTTTTAAATCCTCTATGTGCTATATATTTGTGCAATATGTACTGAAAAATACTCAAAAAATATCCAAAACTTGAAAATCATGGATCAATTTTTTGTGTAGATCAGGTTATATTAAATTTAAATCTATAACGCATATTCAAATTTTGTTTTTTTTATATATATATATATATAGAAAATATTGTTCTCCATATATTTTTATATGGAATTCCTTAGAATGTCAATTTTTTATACTAAGAAACATCTTAATTTAAAAAAAAAAACATTTTAAAGTGATAACCCATAGGGTGTGTTTGATTGGACGGACTGGAAAATGGGGGATTAGAATCCATCGGACTTGAGTCCTGGGACTGTGAATCCCCCGGACTATTTTGTCGGATTGGATATGTATCCTGTGTTTGTTTTTTCATGGGATTAGATGGGACTATCTTGTTGTCTCTTATTTTTTGAGAAAGACTATGAGGGTATGCATTATATGCACCTACTGTACAATTAAAGAAAAAAATGATATAATTTCATATTTTTTAAGTTATAATTAAAAAAAATCATAATTAAACACCACACGAGACATAATCAAAGATCTTATAAGTTATAATTAAAATAAGAGAAAATTATTTATAAGTCCTATTAGGGAGACTTATACTACATATGGTCATATTAAAAAACTTATGTTCTCATAAGTCCTATGTGAAGTTTGTTGACGCATTTACCCTCAATATTAGTTGTTAATATCATAAATAATAGTAAAACCATATATAAGAAATTGAATGTTACCATAGATTAAGTTTGCGAAACGTAATATGACACCTACATAAACGTAACGTAACGTGACCATATCAGATGGGATATTACATAAACGTAACGTGACGTGACATCTACATAAACGTAACGTAACGTGACACCTACATAACGTAACGTGACATGACACCTACATAAACGTAACGTAACGTGTCACGTTATGTTTCGCAAATTTACTAGGTTTTTTATTTTTTTAATTGAATGCGAAAATGTTACTTTCTATGGTAACATTCAGTTTTCTATATATAGTTTTGCCATTATAGTGTATAATAGTATGTTAATACCATTTATTTACAATTTATAGGATCTTGTGGAATACATTTCTATCTAAATAGGACTTGGGACTCTATAAGAAATTATACAAGACTTAACATAGCATAAATTTCCGAAATAAGACTTATAAATAAGTCTCCCTTTAATTTTTGAGAAAAATGCTTGGGAGCACTAATTAGTGCTCCCACTAATTAGGTGGCAGTGGGTCCCGCCATTAATGATGTGATGTTTTGGTCTTGGAGTTGTATTTTTTTTTTTTTATATTTTTAATGCATTAGTGCTATTAGTGGTGATGTTTTTAGTGAGATGAATCATTGTTGATCATTTTTTTGGTATTCGCCAGTGTTGTCCTTGTATCCAAAAATGAGGAAACGTGCATAAATGGACATCATTAACAAATTACATTGCCCTTCGAAGTGATAATTTCATTCTATAGAAAAATCCTATAATTCTATTTGTACTACCATACTATCATTTTTTTCTCCCATTAACTTGCTTGCGTGTCCATCTTTCAATGTTTTGCTTTTTAATAACGTTAATCACATTTAGTTTACTATATGATAAATCAAATATTAAAAAAAAAGAAGAACAAATATAGTCATTGTAATATATTATTGTTTCCTTTTTCAGCCAGCTGCTCTTGACAAAAAAAAATTAATAAAACGATTATGTCGTGTCGTTTAGGTGACATAGAATAACAAATCAATAGTTGGCTCCCATATATGTCCATTCATGGCCACTAACATATGTATCAGTTAGTAGGATGAGTTGGGTAACATAGTTATCATTGAATAGTGAGATTCACTTTTTTATATAATATATTAGTGAGATTCACTTTTTACGATGTACTGGAATTTAAAAAGTCATTAATAATTAAAAAAAATGTTATTTAATTATATTTTTTAATTTTTTTATTTAGTTTACGTATAAAAATCTTACTTCACCTTATTAAAAAAATTTATTTCACAATATTAAATTTTTTTAAAAAACTATCATACATTAAGTAAATCATCACATAAATAATAGTTAATTTATCTAAGAATTATTTCAGACAATCAAAAGTAGAGTAACAAAGACATATTATAATTAATCAAAATGACTAATATTAAATAAAAGTAATACTAATTTTGTTTAATCAATAGTAGATATTACATTGATCATCCTACATAGTATAATGAATTAAAATAAATTTAATTTTAATTCCCATTATATTTAGTTAGTGGTTTAAAATTTTTTACATGCTATTTGTTTTTTGGTTATATTGATTTATTGAACATAATTAAAGTCGAATGGACAAATATAAAGAATATAAATATTTAAATTATTCAAAAAAAATTAACATTTTTAATATGAGATCTCTTCCATTTGCTCAAACTCTAAATTTGAATATATTTTTTTTTTTGAAAAAAAAAAGAGAAATTTGTGGCTTACTTCTCAAAAGAAATGAGTTTTGAAAATAAATTTAATAATGAGTTATTTCAATAGGATAATCAACAACAAAAAAATCAACTGATTAATACATTTAAAGTATAAACTCATATCCAATAAATTTTGATGTGTTCTTTATTTTCAATCTAACATCTGCACAAAAAAAAATTAAACACAAATATTCAATAAGTGAGAAAGTTACAAATTGATAATAGTAACACTTAAAAAAAAAAAAAAAAGAAGAAGAAGAAGAGAGAGAATGAAATCTCAATTAAATGACACATTATTAGCAAAAAGAAAGAAATTAAAAAAATTACAAATTGTAACAAAAAATTTAAAAATAAAATAATAATATCCATTTACATAAACTCACTTTCTTACAAATACAAAAACTCATACAAGTATACATTTTAAATGTAAAGCAAATATTTAAGATTTTTAGACAGGGATCAGAAATGGCTCAATGGTGGTTGTTTTTCCCTCAAATCTTCTGTTTATGGTTCTTTTTGTAGAAACTTGTTTTTATATTGAAAAGATAATGCTTAGACAAAAGATATATATGCAATTCAATTATATTTAAAATTTACATGGATAATTAATTGATAGTTTTAAAAGATAAAATATTAAGTTCAACTTGCAGATAAACTTTAAAAAAATTAAGCTGAAATATATGGAAATTCTATAACAAACCAACAAAAGATAAATATGGATCTTTAAAAAAATTATCATATTTTTAGATATTTATATCTCAATCTTTATATTTTTTATTTAAATATTTTGTTATCTTTTATTTGAATTTCCATTTTGCAGTTCAAATCTAAGTAGTTATATTTTTATTTTTGTATATTTTTTTCATCTCAAGTTTTCTGTTATTCATAAATCAATAGTTATCTTTTTATTTTAAAAATTAAAAGAATTAAGCTGAAATATATGGAAATTCTACAACAAACTCACAAAAGGTTGTCAAAAAATTTATCATTTTTTTTTGAGATTTATATTAAAAAATTTATCATCTTTTCGGGATTTATATCTCAATCTCAATCTTAACATTTTTTATTTAAATGTTTTTATATTTTAATTAAATTTTTATTTATCAAAATTTATTATATTTAAAATTTATATGAATAATTAATTAATGATTTTAAAAGATAAAATATTAAGTTCAACTTGAAAATAAACTTTAAAACGATTAAGCCGAAATATATGGGAATTCTACGACAAACTCACATAAGGTAAATATAGATCGTTAAAAAATTTATCATATTTTTAGAATTTATGTCTCAATCTTAATCTTTTTAATTTAAATATTTTTTTTATCTTTTATTTTAACTTTTATTTTTCAATTCAAATCTAAATAGTTATATATATATATATATTGTATATATTTTTAACTCTATTTTTTTGTTGTTCATATATAAATAATTATCTTTATATTTTAAAAATTATTTTACTTTTTTTTTATTTAAATATTTTTTAATTGTTCATACATAAATAGTTAACTTTTTATTTTTAAAATTAATTGACTTATAATATTTTTTATTTAGTTATTTTTTAATCTTTTATTTGCCTCTTTATATTATTGGTTGAAATTTGAATAGTTATATTTATATTTTATTTTTTCCTATTTTTATCCCTACTTCTTTATTGTTCATATCTAAATATTTGTTGTTTATATTTAAATAGTTATCATTTTATATTTAAATATATAAAATCTTTTTGGCTTTTGAGATTTAGATAATTGACATATGATTAAAAATTAGAAAAAGTGAGAGGGGAGACTTGAGAGGTGACACATATGAGAGAGAATCCATAAGAATTTAGTATTAAGAGTTTGGAAAATTCTCATACTCTATTACATTTGCTTATATATATAGTATAGATAGATTCCCCAATTTCAATTCGTTTGTAACTTCAAATTTTTTTGTTGTTCATATATAAATAATTATCTTTTTATTTTAAAAATTATTTGACTTTTTTTATTTAAATATTTTTTAATTGTTCATATATAAATAGTTAACTTTTTATTTTTAAGATTAACTGACTTATAATATTTTTTATTTAGTTATTTTTTAATCTTTTATTTGTCTCTTTATATTATTGGTTGAAATTTAAATAGTTATATTTTTATTTTATTTTTTTATATTTTTATCTCTACCTCCTTGTTGTTCATATCAAAATATTTGTTGTTCATATCTAAATAGTTATAATTTTATTTAAATATATATAATTTTTTTCACTTTTGAGATTTAGATAATTGACAAATGATTAAAAATAAGGAAAAGTGGGGGAAACTTGAAAGGTGACACATAGAAGAGAGAATCCATAAGAGTTTAATATTAAGAGTTTAGAAAATTCTCATACTCCACTACATATGCTCATATCTATAGTATAGATAGATATAGATATCATTGTTTATATAGATATTTATGATTAATTTTCTTATGGGCCGGGCTTTCCTCCAGTCACTGGAGGGTACTGTTAGGCTCGTGGGGGCTCACCACGGGTCCCATTTCAATAATCTGAAACCGTTCAATGTGTAGAACTCGTCGAGTACTACATGTCTAGAAAAAATCACGTTGATCGAATATCAATAGCTACGTGATCAAATCAGTTTCGTATAAAAAAAATAGACGGTGAAAAAATAAACAGTTTGAAAACTTCTGGTGGCGGTGTGGGCATTGAATCTGCACCGTTGAGTTACAATACCACTGATCACGATGGTTTGATCACCGGTGATAATAACTCTAACTCCAAACAAGAAACCTTGCCTCTGTTTCCACTGGAGCCTACCGGCATTTTGCAAGCAAGAACAACAAGCTCTTCTCTAGCTTCGACCTCTGCTGAGAATTCCACTGCTACTCCTTCGAGCTCCTCGGACACTACAGGCATTGAAGAAGGTGGTTTTGGTGATCAACCTTTCATTGATTTCTTTTCTGGAAATAATGGAAATTATGAGAGTGATTGAATTGAATGCTAATTGTTAAGATGGTTTTTTTGCACTAACCCATGCACTAATTGGTTATGTAAGAGAGGATTACTACTAATTGGGTTGTTGTAAGTGATTTTGGGGTGTGGAGTTTTGGGGGTGTGCTGAGGAGGGTTGTTTCTCTTTTGTTGTTTCGGAACAGTGCGTTGTAGGGATGGATTTGGTTGCGGGTCTTTGTTTTGGTGTACATGGTTTCATGGGTTTTTAACATCCTCCTTTTCCCTTTTTAGATGCGCTAGATTTTTTATATCTAAATTTCTTTTGGTTTAAATATGTTTTAGAAAAATGTCCAGGAAAATACATGTGGGCCATTTTTCTGGGTTCAGTGACTTTCAATGAACATATAGGAAGGGATTCTTTTCTGTTCACTATTAGATTAGAGTGGTGTTGTTAAGACTTGTGAGATTGCTTTGAGATTCTCACAAATTGAATTTTTTTTAAGTTTAAAATATAAATTTGATCATCATATTAGGAATCATATAAATCTCATTGCAATTATTCAAATTCTATAAAAAAATTTCATATATACTGTTTATAAAAAATATACATTTACCTATAATCATAATATATATTCCCTCTTATTTTAAGATTTTCAAATGTAATTTTCTGCTGTGACCACTTAAATTTTTTATATTCCCTTTTATTTTCATCCGAACTTCAACCTCAGATTTTAACATTTAAATTTGATATATCTAAGCAGAACTCTACATTTGGATAACTTTTTCTTCCAGTAGCTTTAAGTCATTATATTAGAAAATTAACAAACAAGGCAGAGCAATTTTTCTCAGGCAAAGACCCAAGTTTAAAAAAAACCATTCCCTAGTTTTGAGCAAACTGCCTGCCACAGGAAAGCCATTCCCTAGTTCATTTGGTAATAAAAGAGTAGATCGACCAAGACTCCAGAATATTTCATTTGCAATCTAATCTCAGGCAAAGACCCAAGTTTTAAAAAAAAAAAATTGCATTATATACAACCAAATAACCAAAACAAAACTGGTAACCCAGGGCATCACATATTACATTAGCTTCAATTTAACAAGACAAAAGGGCGTATGGCTGGTATTTCAGACTGAACAGCCACCATTTTAATCCACTTCCTCGATCTTCGGCCCAGCACTGCTGCCACCGGAAGGACCATCCTCATCCATGGCTCCACCCATGTCACCACCACCAGCACCCTGGTACATCTTGGCGATTATCGGATTACAAATGCTCTCCAACTACTTCACCTTGTCCTCAAATTCATCAGCCTCAGCAAGCTGGTTTGCATCCAGCCAGTGAATTGCCTGATCAATTGCATCTTCAATCTTCTTCTTGTCAGCGGGCGGAAGCTTCGTGCTAATCTTTTCATCCTTGATTGTGTTCCTCATATTGTACGCATAATTCTCCAATGCATTCTTCGCTTCCACCTTCTTCTTGTGCTCCTCATCTTCGGACTTGTACTTCTCAGCCACTTGCACCATCTTCTCAATCTCCTCCTTTGACAGCCGGCCTTTGTCGTCGGTGATGGTTATTTTGTTCTTCTGCCCTGTAGTTTTGTCCTCAGCAGAGACATTCAAAATACCATTGGCATCAATGTCAAAACAGACGTTGATTTGAGGGACACCTCGGGGAGCTGGAGGAATGCCTGTGAGCTCAAATTTTCCCAACAAGTTGTTGTCTTTGGTCCTGGTTCTCTCACCCTCTTAGACTTGAATTAAAACGTCAGGTTGGTTATCAGAGTACGTAGAGAACACTTGCTCTTTCTTGGTTGGAATTGTTGTGTTTCTTGGAATCAAAACAGTCATGACTCCTCCCGCGGTCTTCAAACCAAGGGAAAGAAGTGTGACGTCGAGCAATAACAGGTCCTGCACCTGTAGAGGTCCTCGAACGTCTTGGGAGGAGATCCCTCGTTTTGTTCATTGGGCTCACTACAGTTCAGGACTCGTGCTTTTGCAGAGTTCCTTCCCATTGAAGAAGTCCTGCAACAATTGCTGAACCTTTGGGATCCTAGTAGAGCCTCCAACAAGAACCACATTGTGGACACTGTTCTTGTCCATCTTCGCATCCCTCAAACACTTCTCCACGGGCTCCATACACTTCCTGAATAAATCCATGTTCAGTTCCTCAAACCTAGCCCGAGTTATTGTCGTGTAAAAATCAATACTGTTGTATAAAGAATCAATCTCAATTGTAGTTTGTGCAGTTGATGAAAGTGTCCTCTTAGCTCTCTCACAAGCAGTCCTCAACCTCCTCAGTGATCTTGGGTTTCCACTAATATCTTTCTTGTGCTTCCTCTTGAACTCCTGAACAAAGTGGTTCACCATTCTATTATCAAAGTCCTCACCACCCAAATGTGTGTCACCAGCTGTAGCTTTGACCTCGAACATACCCTCTTCAATGGTTAGGAGAGAGACATCAAATGTCCCACCGCCAAGATCGAAAATGAGCACGTTCTTCTCACCACTGCTTTCAGCTTTCTTGTCGAGTCCATAAGCAATAGCCGCTGCAGTTGGTTCATTGATGATGCGCATAACATTAAGACCGGCAATTACACCAGCATCTTTCGTTGCCTACCTCTGAGAGTCATTGAAGTAGGCAGGGACAGTAACAACAGCATTTTTTATTGTAGTACCAAGGTAAGCCTCAACAATCTCTTTCATTTTTATAAGGACCATTGAAGAGATTTCTTCAGCAGCAAACTGCTTCTCTTCGCCCTTGTAACTGACAACAATCATTGGCTTGTCACCAGGACCAGCTATGACCTTGAAAGGCCACAATTTGATGTCACTCTGCACTGAGGCATCACTGTAGCTCCTTCCAATCCAACGCTTTGCATCTGAAAACCATAAAGTTGAAACCCCAGTTAGTATCCAAAGAGCAAAGGATAAACATGTGATCAGTGAAAGAGTAGTATTCTTAAAAATCTAGAGAGCATGACAATAGTAGAAAACTTTGTTGAAACATTTCAAAAATGGATAAAAAGCATTGAAATTATACATGAAGCTATACCCCTACTTCAGACTTTTAAAAGGAATCATGTTTGCAAATCCTGTAAAGTTTCAGAAATAAAATGGGTCTTGCTAGGTTTCATGAAAACTTTCATGAAAACCATCATGAAAACCATCTGCACTGTTGGATCATGAGACACATACCTGATCTAACGGTGCAGATGGTTTTCATGATGGTTTTCTTGAAAATTCTTCATGAAACCTAACATTTCCCTTATATTAAACAACATACTCCCTCCATTCCAAAAAAAATAGTCCCTTTTGGGAATCTAATTTTTTTTGATAGTACAATTATTACACTTTTAAAATTTGATTTTTCAAAATTACCCTTTGATAATATATTTTTTTTAAAATATTAATATCATAATTGTACTTTTTATGTTGTTAATGAATTTAAAAGGACAAAATAAGAAATTTACATTATTTTTGTACTTGATTTTTGAAAAATAACTAATAATTTGAGACAATAAAAAATAAAATAAAGGACTAATATTTTGAAACAAAAAGAATAAAAAAGATGAATGTAAAATGAATACCATGACTTTTAAGAATATTCAGACTCAACATAACTAGCCTAATTCAAATTGATTAGACTTCATACTAAAATCCCACCATAATTACAAGTATAAGACACTAAGACCAAATCACTTTTCTAAGATATTGTGAATATTAAATCACTGAACAAATTTCCCATTTTATGCGGATGACACTTTTTTCCGGTTATTTTATCTTTAATGGTTTTTATTTTTTAGGGTAAATTACATTAACACCCCTTCAGATTTAATCTAATTACTAGCCATCCTAATGTTTTGGAAATTACACTCCCACTTCTGTGATTGATAGGTTCATTTCACAAACCCCTTATATAAATAGTAACAACTCTTAGTAAAAAAATAAAAAAAATTACATTAAAAAATAAATAAATAAAGGAAAGGGAGAAAAAAGGAAAAAGTAAAGCAAAGCAAAAAAAAGAAAAAGTGCACGAGTTTAATATCTTCATTCCGTCTAAATAATTACAATGACGGGGGTTTGTGTAATTTTCCAAACGTCAGGGGGGATATGTATTAAACCCAAACCTCAAGGGGTATAAATGTAATTTACCGTATTTTTTTTATTCATTTTAATTATGTCAAATTTCTTTAAGATCCTAATCCTAAAAATTATAAAAATTCTAGTTTTCATAAAATATAAAAATAAGCAAATTTTTGTAAATCTTTTTATAAAATTTATGTCTTTTAGTAGAAGAAAATTAAGTTATCCCAATTTTTAAAATTTTAAAAATCCAAGATAGATCTATAAAATAAAAAAATTAACTCTTAATTTTTAAAAAAAATGTTCTTGTCAAAAAACTAAGTTAGAATTTTAACGTCTTCGCCACGAAGTACATGATTTGATTGACAACGAGGTCATCATCCCACCAAGCTTAGCAAAGTCTATTATCTCTGGATCAGTGAACTTGGGGGATAATACGAGTATGTGATCAGGGGATGAACCACCTGCGGGTGGCGCTCAGTTTACTCCAGATGTGGCGTGTGGCACGCACTGTTTTGAGCATTTGCGAATACTGTTTATTTTACGTTCTGGCTTGGGTATTGAGTCAGTTCTGTTGTGTTGTTTTGAGTCTGCCTCTTTGTTTTGAGTCAGTCTTTTTGTTTAGGGGGTCGGTCCATGACCGGTTTGTTGATGGTATGCACAGTATTGGATGCCATCATGTTTAGCTTGAAGGGGATTCGGCAGAGGCCGAGGCTTAAGAGGTTTGAGATGGCCCTTTTCAACAAGGATTTGAAAAGCCTTGGACAAAGGCATATAGAGGGCATGGAATACCCTGCGACCTCGGGGTAGATACTTTGAGGTTTGTGGATTTTTGTTGGATGCACTAGCAAAGGGGTCAGCGGATGCGGACTTGGCTTTCTGATCTCTCCCGAGTGCAGGTTTAGAGTTAAAAGGATCGTTTCTGGTACAACGACCCTTGTCCCTGTTCTCGCATTGATTTGAACTGCTTTCATTCTGAGTGACGAAAGTGTCCTCCACAGTTTTCGCAACAACTGCGAGCACTTGCTGTTTGTTCAGTCCCCCGGCTTTCAAAACCTCAACAACCTACAGGAGTTGTTCGTAGGGATCCATATCTATCTCTACCTTG